TTATTTCAAAACCCCCTGCCCCTCCCCCTTTTCTGATGAAGGGTCCAGGCCCGAAACGTCAGCCTCTCTGCTCCTATGATGCTGCTTGGCCTGCTGTGTTCATCCAGCCCTGCACCTTGTTGTCTAGTAATAGGAATAAGTGGTCATTTTCAATTAACATGATGTTACTGATGGAGTGTCACAAGATCATTGCAAGGCCCTCAACTATTTGAAATCTGTTTTTATAACTTAAGTTATACTCAGCAAAATTATACAGATTAAGGGGTTGACAAAACTAGGTGGGAAATAAGCTGAGAAGACTATGCAAAGGAATAAAGTTGTCTTAAGTGAGTGGATTTAAGAAACTGGCAGATATGGGGAAAGGTGAAGTTATGCAATTAGGTAGACAATGGAGGAAATACTACATTTTTGTGATGGTGGAGTGTGATTAGATGTTGATGTCCAAAGGAATTTTGGACATCTTTGGTTTCTTGTACAAAGTTAACATGGATCAAGAAGGTAAATGATTATTGCCTTGCATCAAGTGCAACAAAGATTCATTAGATTGATTTCTCAGATGAAAACGTTATTCTATAAGAGATCAAATAGAATAGACTGACGTGTTAAGAGGTTGCCTCCCACGGCTAGAGAATCTGGAACTAGTTTTAGTATAAGCGAATGGCCATTTTGGTTTGAGGTGAGGAGAAATTTCTTCACCTTTTTGAATTCTCTATGTAAGAGATTCCTGGATGCTCACCACCTTTGCATTGATGGTCATGACGGTCAGCCAGGAAAATGGAGTTGAGGTCAATGACCAGCTGCAGTCTTAATAAAAAGCAAAACATCCTCAGAGGTACCACATGGCTTAGTCCTACTCCAATTTTTAAAATATTTTCTTAACTTCAGAGTGTTTCATTCCTGCATTTTCAGCAAGCTAAATGCACAGCTGGGCTCCTAATTTTTAGTGAGGTAAATATTAGAAATCTATAATAATGGGTCATTCAAGTATTAAAGTACATCTTTGCCATATTCACTTTCCACTGGGGTTTACAGGACTTAGCTGTATAGCAGACGTGGTGTTAACTTTGAAATCTTATGGGGTTGAATCCCTATACTGCCACGTGTGATATGTTTTGTCAGTTCACAAATAGATGCCAGCTGGGTTAACTCTCTGCAGTTGAACATCTTGCCTCAAGGGAGGGAAAAGCTGACATGGGATGCCATGGCCCCCCCACAAGATGGCCTTCAGGGATGTCTCACAGTGACTAAACATCCCACCTCATGGGAGGAGAAACTGATTTCAAATGATCTGGGCTCCACTAAGCACACCTCCAAAGCAGCTTATCTCCAGAGGGCCTGGCCTGGCACGTGGTAGGAGGAACAACTAACAAAGGCCACTTCACCTTAATAGCGAGTGCTTTTGCTGGCTGGATGAAAAGTAGGATTGATTAGAATGGCATTTTATTGGTGCAAAGGTATGTACGTGTATGAAAAAGAGAATTGTTAACAACCTGACGTTGATTAAATTCGCTTGCCTTGAGTGCATCTTTCTGAAGTTGCATTTATTTTATATTTTTAAGTAAAGATGTTGCCTTTTTAGGCAACCTCAACTTAAGTAGGTGTACAAATGGAAGGTACAGAGTTTGTTTGCAAAAGACGCAGTTGATCTAGATATCCTCTATATCAAAGGAAAGTGCACATTTTGTGAGATTGTTTGGAAAGAATGGTGGATTGTTGGATAGCTGTACCAAGTGCAGGGCGAAATGGCTTCTTTCCATGATGTATAATTCTGATTTCTTTAATTGAACAAAAATTGAAGAAATAGCTTTCTTTAAGATTAATGTCAATTTTTGCAGTTTGATTGTAATCTGGCTTATTAGTGTTTCAAACTGAGCCATATGCTTAATTAGGCAGGAAAAAACGTTCAGACTTACATAAGGTTTATTGTAATTCTATAAATATAATGCTAATGTCAGTTTCCACCTTGCCTGGTGGACACTTGTTCTGTACGAAAAACATCACCAGGGAAGAAGTCAACTCTGAAATACAGAAGTCCAATGAGTATCACCCACTGCACAAGTTTGAAGCTTATCTGTTTGGGCCTTAAAGCAAACTGCATTTCACACTCTGACAATTAATACTGTGAAGTTCATCCTCTTTGATTGAATGAAATAATAACTGCAGTCTTAAACGAGCAAGTTTATATTTTTGTTACTTTTTAATGCAATGAAATGTTTGTGAATGGTTCACGGAAGTATTATAAATTTTAAAATATGACAGAGTCACGTGAAGAGATATTATGTCAGATAACCCAAAGTTTGATCAAGTAGGTTTTAAGGTGTCCTTTTAAAGAAGGAAAGTCGGGTGGTAAGATCAGGGGAGGGATTCAAGATTTTGGGGCCATGGCAGCTGAAGGTACCAGTTGTGGAGTAGTTATGACTGGGAATGCGGTCGCAGCCAGAAAAGCACTGATAATTCAGTTCTGGTTTCGGAGGGACCAAACCTTGAAGGGCTTTGAAATAAGGATGATGATTTTGAAAATCAAGACCAACAATAAGGGCTTTGGATGACCTCCTGTTTAGAGGATAGAATATGGGAGGCCAGTCAGGAGTGCATTGACATAAATTGTTTGGAATAGTGTCTTTTTTTTGTTTGGTTTGCAATTTTTTTTCAGTAATATTGAAGTGAATAAATAAGCTTTCCTAAATATTTTGTGTATCTGATTACTGTTTAAATGATGCTTCATATTATAGCCAGGAATCATCTTGACTGCGAATATCCGTGATGGCGAGGATAGCGTTAATAGAGGTGCTCTGTCAAAAGAACCTGCTGTCTGGATATTATCAAATGATTTGTAGATTCAGTTCATATTATGATTAGTTAACTGGCTAGCTTTCGGAGAGAAATAATGATGTAAAGGCCACTGTAAATTTAGCTGACTTTTAAAAATGTTTGACTAACATTTAACAAGGTTTCTGACAAATTGAATGCTTAGCTCCTACCCTTTCCTTGAAGTACTAGCAAAGGAAAATGACTTGAAAGGATTAGATTACAGCCCATGGCAGCATGTCCTTTAGATTCCAATAAATAAAAATGAATTTTTAGTTTACTCTGGTAACATTGCCATCACAGAATAAGAAAAAGTCATTAACCTAATATTTCACAAATAATGTTATTGATGAACTGGCTGTTTTGGTCAATGTTAAATACAGATTTCTCATCACCTTCAAACATATCTTGTGACTGGCACTGCCGCAAGCAACACGTATGTTTTAATTTTCAGTATTCCTTATCTACCAGCAAAATTGGAGATCAGTTTTTGCAGGGTCTATAAATGTGCTCTCACTCAGATTCTTTTGCTGATTGACTTAACTCTGTGTCCTCTGCTGACTCTCTGCCACCAGAAATAGTTTCTCCATATTTACCTAATCACTACCCTTCTCAAAATTCAGTGCTCCAAGGGGAACGAACCTAGGTTTTCATCTTCCAACTGGAGTTCCACATCTCCCCTGTCATTTTAAATGTGCTTAAAGGAAGTTGGCAGGACAGAAGTTTTTTTTTAACAAATTTGGTAAATATATAACCATTCTAGTGGGTGAAGGCACAAATCCTAAGTTTGATTCTTGGACTGCCAGCCCTCTGCATCAATGTCAAAATGAATCAGTACCAGCAGTAATGGATTGGGAGAAACAAGGAAACAAAATGATGAGCTGATGTACTTTTTTTTAATAAACTGTACTAGAAGATAAGTTGAAGTTTTGAAATGAGGATATATATACTTGTAAAACCAAAATGCAAATTAAAACTGCAGTAACCTAATAAATTATCTTTGATTTGAGTCTTGAGGATAGATTGAAAAAGTCGGGACTATTCTCCCTTGAGAGAAGATCTGAGAGAGGGTTTCAAAATCTGGTGTGGGCTAGACAGTAAATCAAGAGAAGCTGTTCCTGCTGCTTTCAAAAAAGGCCGTAGATTTCAAAGTGGTGGGCAAACAAAGCAAGTATGGTCTGGGGTGGTGGGTGGGAGAAAATTTTCCCTGTGCATAGTTAGGGGGTTAGTTAACTCAGTTGGCTGGACACCAGGTTTGCGATATCATGATGCCAACAGCATGGGATCAGTTCTGCACCAACTGAGTTTACTATGCAAGTCCCATCTTCCCAACATATCCCATGCCTGAGGCAAGGTGATCCTCAGGTTAAACTCACCACCAGTCATCTCTCTTCTAATGAAAGAGTGGGGCTATGGTCCTTTCGGCGACTTTACTTTAGATATGGAATGCACTGCCTGGAAATGTGGTAAAGCTACACCCAATTGAGATATTTAAGTGGGCATCGGAAGATTATTTGGAAAGAAATAGTTTTCAGGGATATAGTGAGGTAGAAGCAGGAGGTTGGCACTAGATAATAGAATTGATGCAGGCATGTTGGACTGATTGGCCCCTTTCTGTGATGACATACTTGCATTGTACTGCTCCCACTACACCTTGATACACATATGCCCTTCAAACAGGGTACCAGCAATCCCCAAGAAAAACTGGACTCCATTCATTGATCGTCTCATAGCTTGTGAGGTATTTTGGACTTGAAGTACTCCCTGTAAAGTGCTCATTAGGATCTAGATCTTATTTTCTGATTTCATACTAATTGATCATGATGACAGGAACGCTCGCATATGGACACTTGACTCTCAATGTGTCTGAGATTCTTCATGCAGTTGGTCACCATATGTGTGTTGTCTTTTCCTTTTGCTGATCTGGTTAGTATTAAGTTTTTCAGGCTGCATATTTGACCCCTATTTTTTGGTGATATTTGCACTTGCTGTTTCCTTGGCTTCAGTGAATGCAGCAAATAGTTAGCAACATTTTTCGGCAGTGCAACTTTTAGAAAGAGTAGCCTGTGCAATTGCTCACTGAAGGGATGAATGGTGTATTTAAAAAAAACAAAAAAAAATTGAAAGTAGTGGTAGAGTGTTATCACAAAGAGTATTTGCATTAAATCAAATGCATTGCTTTACTTTTACAGGTCTTAGTGTAAACAAGAATGTTGGACATCAGAAGCTGGGCAGAGTACATTGTCGAATGGGCTGCAAAAGACCCCTATGGATTCCTTTCAACAGTTATCTTGGCACTAACCCCACTGTTCTTAGCAAGTGCAGTGCTATCATGGAAACTGGCGAAAATGATTGAGGCCAGAGATCGAGAACAGAAGAAGAAACAAAAGCGTCAAGAAAACATTAATAAAGCAAAAAGACCAAAGAAGGATTGAAAATATAACTGGGAAACATTCCTTATCTTGAACAAAAATGCAGCTTGTTTTTCATCCTTAACAATTGTGGTTATATTGTACAATAACCTCCCAAAGATTCAGTGACTGTTTCATTAGAAATGTGCTTCTTCTAATATTTCAAGTTTTGGGTTTTTATGATATCCTTTAATATTGGGATGAAAACTTCCATTAATGCTTTACAACTAATTTTCTACTTTTACTGCTTCCTATCCGAAGTGTACATTCTTGTTCCTGTTTCATAAAACCTGTAATCTTGTGATTATGAAAGTGTACTGGACCACTGCACTGAAATCAATATATTGATACTTCATAAAAATAATGTTTGGAAGTCAATATAAGGTTACTGTTTCTGAATTGAAAAATAACATCTGAAATATATTGAATTCTATTTTGCTAAGAACCTGAACAGTTATTGACTGGATTTAATTCACAGTTGCAAAATAATATCAAGGAAGGAAAAACTGAAACCCTTTTATTTAATAATGTGATGCGTAGCAAAACCACTGAAGGGAAGGGCTGCATTTTCAGGTGCAAGTCTTTTGGCTTGATAGGTTTATTAGCTAATGGCCAATATGAAGTAAATTGTGTTACAATTCAGCATTACACCACTTGCATGTAATGTTATTAAAATGTTGCAAGATGTTCTGTCTCAAAACAGAATTTTTGCCAAATAATTTTATAAGCAGGTGGTGCTGTTTAGTTTTTCCATGCTTCTAATTAAATGGTACCTTATGTACTGTAAAAATTGTCCTTTGGTCTGTTGAATGGCATGAGTTGAATGTTTCTGTGACTAGTAATGGCGTCATTCATTAGTAAGTGGAGGCATTGTACATTGCAAAAGGGAGTATCTACATAACTTCTTCAGAGTTTATGAAATATCAGTGTTTATTATAATTTTGTTAATGGCACCAGACTTCTGCTAATGAGTGTGCTGCATATCAAACTTTTTTAATTACTGTGCTTTTATTCCTTAACTTTTAATTACTTAGCTATTTATTGATTGCACTAAATCTGCTTCATCTTACAAAATGTTAATTCTGCAAGAACTGGAAATTGTTCTTAAAAAATAATCTGGAAAGGGCAGGCAATACTTGCAGGTCTGGCAGCACAATGGAGAAGGAGGTTTCAGGAAAGATTGACCTGAACTGTGAAGTTTCTCTGCTTGTTGATCTTCCCAAACATGCTGAGTATTTCTAACATTTTTGTATTTCTGTAACCCAAAATGCTAGCTGATAACTGTATCAATACAGCTTTAGCCCCAATAACCTATGTTGGAATTTATGATTAGTGTAAGCCTGAGCAAAAAATAATGGGCGTTTTGTAATTTAGGTAAAGCTTTAGGTATTAGTTAATGCTGGAGTTCTTTATAATTCACAATTATTTTAATATAACAATCAACCCTCTGCAATCATTAGAGAATATTCCCATTACTGACTTAAATCAACAGAAGATCAATGATAATGGTTTGGCTTAAGCCACATCACAAGATGAGATCATCCAGGATAGTTATTTGGGACAATTGACTTCGAATGGTGCCAACCATCTTCCTTTGGGCTAGGTACAACTCCATCCAGTGCAAACTTTTCTGATTCCCGTTTTGGTAGGGTTCTTTGAAGCTTCAATCTGTCAAATGCTGCCTTGATGGCAAAGGCAGTCACTCTACCCAACAGCTTCCAAACCTGAAACCTCTACCATCTAGCAGACCAATGGCAGCAGACATAGGGGAACACTACTATGGCTTTTTTTTCTTCATTGTCACTTGGCCAAAACCTGGTAATCCCTTCCTCCACTATTTTAGACTGTAGTAATTTGAGAATATGTCTGAAATCCATCTTTAGCTGTGAGGGATAAGCAACAAAGACTGGTTTTGGTAGAGGTTAGAGAAGTATACAACTTTATGAATTAGCATCAGTCAATGCAAATAGTTCATTTTCTTTCATTCTTAAGCTACAACCATTGCTGATAAATCTGCTATATATTGTTTACTCTTAGGTGCTATTGAGAAACCAGTGTGTTATTTATTGTACTCAGTGTGGCAGGTAACTAAACACTTGCTGGGTGAGACATTTTAGGATTTTGATCCAGTGAAATTGAAGGGACAGTGATGTATTGAATGTTTGGAACATATATGATTGGCTGTCCATAACTTGTTAATCACAAAAACTCAGCTGCTTGCTGCAGTGCATCCCTATAGATCTGTTGGACACTTAGGAAGTAGTTTCCTTCCTACTTATGTTAATGCATACTTTGGATAATGCATCAACAAATTTACAATCAGTGCATGCATTAGGACGTTTAGGTCCCTTGGCCTTTTGAGCCTGGTTAGCCACTCAGTAAGATCAAGACCCACCTGATTACTCCACATTGTTACCTGTCCTCAAAATCCTTTCCCTCCCTTGTTTATGAAGAACATATCTACCTCTGCCTTCAACACGTTCAAAGATTTGCCTTCCACCACTTTTTAAGGAAGGGAGTTGCAAAGACTCATGGGCTTCTTGGAGAAAACAATTCTCATCTGTCTTAAAGGATGATCCCATTATTTTTAAACGGTGATTCCTTGACCTCGAGGAAACATATACATCCTGTCCCGATCCTTCAGGATCTTGTGTTTTAATCAAGCCAACTCTTAGCCATCTTGACTTCAGTGATACGTGTCTTGCCCATTCCAGACGTTAGTCTGATAAACCTCTCTGAACTGTTTAAGACATCGTCTAGAAATATGGAGATCAAAACCGAGCATTACAACAAATTATCTCCTTATTTGTGTTTACTTCTCATAGCAAATGGTAACATTTCCATTAGTAGTATTAAATATTAGCTATACTTGCATGCTCTGCTACTTTGTGATTAATGCAGTAGGGACACTTCCTCTATCTTGGAGCTCTGCAATCTCTTACTTAGAGATGCATTTTTATTGTTTCTGTCAAAATGGACAATTTCATGCTTTCCCCACATTATACTCACTTTGCCAGATCTGTCTCAAATTCTCTCAAATTCAAACTATGCTTAAAATACTGTAATACTGTCCCAGGCTTTTCTTCTATCTCAAGAGTTTTGACTACTAATACATCACAGAAGTAAATAACTTCAGTACTAAACTTTAACAGTTGAAATTTAATGCTAAGGTACCATCACCAAGCAAGAAGCAGTAATTCAAGGTTGATATATTATCTATGGCTGTTTTGTCAAGTTGAGGAAAGATCTGTAATTATTTTGTGGGTCCACAAGGGACTAACAGCATCCTTTAGGCCTTACAACATCTTTTACTTCCTCATGAGCTGTGGTGATTTTAATTCCACAAGGTGTAGTCCTTCAAGCACGCTGTCAGATCACACTATACCAACCTCATTTTTCAATAAGCAACTATAGCATTTGTCAAAGAACATATCAGTTCCAGCAGATGTGATGTTCGCACTCAATGTGGATGTGATCTGAATTGAAGATTTGACAATGAAATTGCAACTCAAAAGCCTCAACAAAATAAAGAAATGAAATGCAATGTAGTTCCAGAAGATATTCCACAAAGTCTGCATCAAAGAAATCAAGAAGTTTGAAAAAATTGGTTCAGCATTAAAGAAACAAACAGTATTCTACAAGGATAACCACTTTTTCTGACGTTGGGGTCAAAGTTCCACCTTACCCTTGTGGTCAGGCTCTGTATGAGGCTATATTTTTGGGTTTTTTTCCTCATACTTTTTAATGTCTTTTCCTGGAATGCATTGTTCCTAACTAATTGTAATGAAAGCAAATGCAAGTGAATGACATTTGTTAACACTAAAATTGGAAGCAACGGTGGAGATACATCATTTTAATTAAATGTTAAGAGAACTACTTTGAAAGGGCGTGAAGTTAAGTTCACCACGAAGTTTAAAGTTCAGGAAGAATATGTCTCATCTCTGTAAGGTACCCTGGAACTCTTTGGTCTAAATAATTTTCAACTTCAGTATCTGATCCCCAGGTTTTAGAACTTTTAAAGTATCTTACTATTTATTGATCATTATTTAACAGATTATCATTATTCTCCCTAATCACCCTCTGATTTTGTATTATTTCATACAAATGGTGATCTCTTTTCAGCCATAGTGATATTCATTCCAACTTGAAGGATAGCCATTCAATAGAATTAGACGTATTATCAAGAAAGCATAAAAGGGTCTCCTTTGCAGACTCAATGGCAGGACTTCTGGCTTAGGGAAGCTGCCAACATTGCAAAGTAACTCCGGGCACTGGGAATTGGGCTTCCTGCATACATTGTCTTTGTCCTGTCTCTCCCACATATCAGGGTGAATTCTCTCTCATTTGTCACCTGTGTCATCCTTCTTTGGGATAGTGTGCTGGAAATTAAGTGCTGCTATTTAACAAAAGTTAGAGTTTTAAACTATGCAAAATTCCCCAATTTACCTGTCTTTCATAGCCAGGTTGACAGAAAGCATTGACCAGGTTTCTGTACTTAACAAGAATTACTGTTCATTGTAAGTAAAATAGATTCTAGCTACAGGCAAACAATTATGAACCACTGGCACATACTTACTGTAGTGAAAACTCTAACCCCCTTATAAAACTCCCTTTTACACACACACACAGAGGAAAAAAAACACAGAGGTGTGATTGGCAGAGGGAAGAACTGGGAGAAAGTCGCTGTTCACGGGAATTTGTGTGGAGATTCTTGTACTGGTTCTTGACACTGCTTCTTGGTTTTTATTCTCTGAAAATTTTCACTGGTTTGCAGGGGCATAGGATGGCTGGTTCAAGTTGAAAATTAATAAGTCAGAGACCTTTTATAAATCACAGCTTACAGCAACTGTTGAAAGAAAAAAATTCTCTAGGTTTAAAAATGGCTTTTACTGCAGAAACCAGCTCCTGAGCTGCTGGAGATCTGACTTGTTCACAGCCCCAAACTGTTCAGCTACCAGAGAAGCAATCACATTGCTTTTGGCAGGCAAGAGGCCATTGTTATTGATAACTTGTCATTAGTCCACAGACCAATCAGCTAGTTGTTCCTGGCTGAATCTCCACTTGTACACACCTTTCGCTCCAGGTCATTTGCACCTTCTCCTACTAGTACTTGAAACAGCAGCTTTGTAAACAATGCTTTCAATGAGTGCCATGTTACTTGCTTCAAAAAGAACTGCAGTAATCCTTTCAACAAGCCTTGGTTTTTAAACAGTTCTACTTCCATGTCAGTTCACAATCAAAACTACAGAAAAATAAAAAGTTAGAGCCCATCATTAATTTTTTTGATGTTTTTGAGGATGAGTTTCCCTCCTGCTCCTGTGCGTTTTGAACCCTGGATGACGGTTAACAATCTTAATAAACGGATACTGACTTGGACTGAAAAGCATGTTGTACATCTTGAAATGGTGCTCCAGCATCTTCAGTACATTCATTTCCGAGTATTACTGATCTATTCATGATTTTTTTTAACCTCTGGTTGTTTTAAATTCTGGATTAGCTATATCAATACTTCCAAAGTATGGCAACTTGATAGGAGAGAACATTGGTATTTCTTACACCATAACAAACAATTATTGAAAATTAATTTTAATTTTAACTTAGAGAAGGAAAAACAACTTTCCATACCATTTCTTGATTTTCTCAGCAGCATGTCTCAGAATAACACACCACTACATCAAGTTTCATGTAAGGCCATTTATACTGACCTATCCAACAGAACTATGGTTCTCCACAATCCCTGCACACTCCAATCAATTTCCAATAGTCCAACTGGAAAAACCTGTTTCATCAGTG